ATATATTAGGCGTTAAACTCAAAGATATGCCACAATTACTCGATCCCAATACCGATGTCTCGACGTTACCATCATTTATGTCCAGATCAGCCGTTGAGCAGAGGATCAATCAGTTGTTGCAATACATGTCTCGTCCGGACTCTGCTCTCAGTACAAGACGTCGATTACGGGAATTGAGTAGTCTTTTGGCCACATATCCCGATGCTATCCATTACGCGGTCGCCAATCGGGCCATTCAAACGGTAATAAGACTTAACCAACGGTCAGAGGAGCTGATGGTTCGCCAGCACTCGAACCAAGTGTTGGCTCTTTTGGGTTATTGTGAACCACCGAAAGGCAATGGCATTCGTATTCTTAGCATTGATGGCGGAGGTATGTCTTCCACACAATCCATGTCTATAACACTGTTTTCACATTCATTGAAATGAATTGTCCATATTTTAAGGCACTCGAGGAATACTTGTGATCGAAATACTTCGTGAGTTGGAACGACTGAGTGGTAAACCCGTACACGAGATGTTTGATCTGATCTGTGGTGTGAGTACGGGTGCCATAATCGGTATGCTTTTGGGCGCAATGCGGACACCGATCGACGAGTGCGAAGAATACTACCACCGCTTCAGTTCGCATCTGTTTAAGAGTGACTTTCTTCGGGGCGCCGGACGTCTGATTTGGTCGCACGCCTACTACGACACCACCGTTTGGGAGAAGATTCTCAAAGACATCTACGGCGAGACACTGATGATGGAGAGCAAGCAGTGCGCCGGCACTCCCAGCGTACTGGCCATCAGCGCTCTCATGAATAAGCCCTCTATCGAAGCGTTTCTGTTCCGCAATTATGAGCTCCCGATTCACACGCGATCGTTGAGCCAATACGAGGGCAGCTCTAAGTATAAGATATGGCAGGCGGTGAGGGCGTCGGCGGCCGCTCCGGGCTATTTCGAGGAAATACGGTTAGACCAATACGTGCATCAGGACGGAGGCCTTCTCATCAACAACCCCACAGCTGTGGCCGTACACGAGGCCAAGATGTTGTGGCCCAGCGAACACATCCAATGCGTGCTGTCGTTAGGCAGCGGCCGCTTTGTGCCGCAGTTGGAAGAGCCCCCGTCCAGGACTACTAGTCTCAAGACTAAGATCATTAAACTGATCGATTCGGCCACCGATACCGAAATGGTTGACCGACTCATGAAGGACTTGTTGCCGCCCAAGACTTACTTCCGGATTAATCCATATTTAACAGAAATGGGAACTCTTGATGAGAACCGACGCGAAAAGTTGGACCAAATGAAAGCCGACGCCCGAAAGTATTTGAGGAAAAATGACAACAAATTTACAGAAGCCGTCACTGAATTGACACAAAAACGCAAAGTTAGACAACATCTCGAAGACTGGCTTCGACTTCAATACTATCTTCGAGTTTAAGATCTTTTTATAGTCATTGCTATAACTTTTTAATAGATTTTTTGCCAACAAATTGATTAAATTTATAAAACTTTATAATTTATGTAATTATTGACTAAAAGCTGATTTTGTTTAGTTTTCATAGAGTTTATCATTAAATGTAAATATCATTAGATTTTAATATTGTTAATAAACTATTTAAATTTGTGATAAATTAAATTATTTTGCTTTAAAAAATCAAATGTTACCCTATTGTTAAGCTCTAGAAGTGAACAAAAGTGTCAGTTAGTGTTAGTACAAGTGTGAGTATATCGCGATTATTAATGACTATTCTTTTAAAGAATTTCTTTACATTTAAGATAATAGATATTAAGAATTGTAATGTCTTTTGACAGTAGGTTTTGAATGGCAATAATTATCTGATTGTTTGACCTATTATTACATAATATTGTTTATATTGATCTAAAACACAGTTAACATTATAACAAAGTTATCATTTAAGAAGAGGTGTGTTATCGCATTTCATGAGTGGTGTGTATCCCACAATTCTACCCTATTCCTAGTAGACTATAATAATAGTTTCAAAATATTTTTAAAAGTATTATTCCGGTTAAAGATAATTGTATAAGACTTTGGATCACATAATAAATGTCGTTTTGACAAAGTTTTATTTTACATTTAAGCAAATATTTGGCTCATAAAACATATTAAATGTTTGAATAAATAAGTTATTATCACTGATAAGAATTGGAATTTTCATAGAATGGTAACAATTATTAGTATGAATAAAATTCAAATTAATTCTATACATCTAATGCTGAATCTTATGGGAAAATGTAAGTCAATGCATATACAGTATATGTTTATTTCTATTCCTGTAGCATTTAAAACAAATGTTAATTTTACCAAACAAATGGTATGAAAATATATCATCATTCATGATAATCATCAGAGTCGAGATTCTAAGGAGTTTTTGCTGTAATCATCACTCGATGAAAAGTTTAAAGCATACTGTAGCTAATATAATAATAATATTACATGTTTGAAAAGTGATTGTATTCAACATTAAATGCAGTAAAACTCATAACACGTGGTCAATCATATTGCATAAGTCTTATAGACGACGCTTTAGGGACTAATGCTAAACATTCTAAAACTTAGAATTTATAATTATTTGTTGAAATTTCTATATTATGGATTAATCTTTGCATTCAAGAAATGGAACTGACATTTATGCTAGTTCAATTATAAAACTAAATCTTAAGTTTTATAATTGTTTTACTGGAATGAATGTTAATTAATAGGTTTGCCTACAAAATCTCATTTATGAACAGTATCGAGAATGGGAGGCATTTTTGTTTTAATCATCACTTTGAAAAAGTTTGAACTCAATGTCGATAAAATAATATCAGTGTTTAATGACTGTTTCTAAAATGTTAAAATCAAGTTATAATTAAACAAATCCACACTAGGACAATCAGATTTATTCAGATAATCAAACAGATTCAGTAATTATTTAAACTTATTAACTTACCTGAATGATTGCTAGATTCTTTTATTATACTACATATTTATTATACTGTATTTACTATTTAACAATTCCTATTTGATGATCCTACTAAATGACTATTGCATAGAATAAATTGCAAACGTTGTAAAGTAATAGTTATGGTATTATGTATTAACTTTGCCATCACTTTTCGATCACAAATGTTCAATATTTGCATTATTTATATTTTTATCATTTTAAACCATTGAAATAAAATGTACATTTATTAAGTAATCAATTATTTTATTTATTTGAAATATAATTACAATTATTATCATTGATTTATTTTAATGTAAATAAATTCAACTTTTTATATCAAATTAAGTTTAATATTTAGTTATTAAACGATTACAATAATCGCAGTATTGTTTGTATTATTAACGACTCAAACCGATCGTTCAGTTAATACCCTTTCGATTAATAATTACAATTAAATGAAAAAAATTTGTGTTAAATTATAATATGTCTGTTGTTTTACATTACATTTGGAATGACTTATAATTGGATTAATTCTTTAACGAATAATTCACTCGAAAAGAGAAAAACTCATTATTAGATCTGACTT